TTTTTACAAACTGAAGGCAAGACCCTCACCAGCAAAAAGATTACGACTCCCTTGATTGAGATACTTCTTTATTGCCAGTGGTCTGAAACCAAACTCGCAATTTCTCTGAGGTAGCCCAGGCGCATTGTTGGATATACCATCTAGTGCACTTGTGTAAGTGCACTTTATAACGTTTGCATGACAAAAATCACCTAATGACACATTTCTCAGAATGTATCCCGGTCATTAAGCGATGTGTGCCTATATTAAGAAATGATATTGTTGGGTAGGGTTGAACATTTGTGTGCCACTAATCATTGTAATAGCTAAGATTTTTTTTTGGTCCCCTTGAGGGCAGGATTCCCCCCTCCCCCAAATTTAGAATGCTGTAGAGTAAGGGGGGCGGGCAGATATTAGCATTTTCTGTTACATGGTGCACATTTTTGGACTGGTTTCTAGATAGATTATTAATGCTTAAATACATTACAGATATCTTTTTGAAAAAAACTTCTGATACAGCTTATTCATTTGGTTATGCTTAATTTTGGTAATGACTGTGACCATGCATAGGGTACAGGTGAGTTTAGGTCTAGCTTTGCTACTTGATGGCTGTGCAAAATATTTAACTTCTATAACCTGTTCTCTCAGCTGAGAAAACTATTACTGACCTTGCGGGTTGTTAAAATAAATGGCAACAATGCATTATCAACTGCAAGTCACCATCGAACTAGTAACTATTCTTTCTAAAAAAGAAAAGATGACGGAAACTTCTTAGGATAAAAACTAAGGCCCATCACGGTCTCCCCTTGCCCACCTTTCCAGCTTCTTCTTGCATAACTCTGCTCTGTTACCCTTTCTTTTCTCAGATCCTCAAAGGTACAATGCTCCCTCCCATCGCACTGTTTTTGCTTTTGTTGTTTCCCTGCCTGGAATGCTGTGCCTGCTCAGTCTTCCTATCCTGCTGCCTGGTAATCTTACCCACAGCTATCCAGGCCGGCATTTTCCCGAGGCGGTCTTCCCTGATCCCTAGACCTGGTCAGGTCCCCCACCATCTGCTATCATGGAACCCTGCACCTATCGGCCCCTATGGAAGGCAATGTTGTTTACCGGCAATCTTAAGGTTAACAACTCTTTCTGTCATGAGAACAAGGAAGGCGTTTGACGGTCCACGCCTGAGCACAGGGCTGAGCACAGAGCCTGGCTCACATTGGTGCTCAGTAGATACACGTACAGGAGGAAGAGAAGGAGCCAGAGAACCAAGGCCCTCAG